GACAACTCGCCCGGCGTTTCTTCAGGGTGTAGGTTTAGGCGACAGTGTCTTTAACATAAATAAGTAACATCGAGAGGCGGGTAATTATGATGGTTGGGACCACTCAATTATCCTTTTTTTAGGTTTAGTCCTATAAATTCGTCTGTGATTTTTTCTTCCTCCTTGCTTCGCTGATCGATGGCTTCAGATCATTCACGTTTTTGCTTTGATTGGTGCAAAATGCTCTTCAAGTCCAGATAGTGTAATCTAACCGCAGCAGAAAGATGAGATCCTCCATAGCTTCTTTCCGATTGATGCAGAACTAATAGAGCTGAAGGGTTACGAACCAGAAAGGTAAAGCGGCATGCTGGGCTCATCGCAACAGTCCTAGTAAGTTCAAGTAGATCGTGATAAATGATCCTGAATATCCTTTGAACATAAGTAATAGTAAATGGGAGTGATGCCGAGAATTACGCACAGAAAGTCTGATGATCCCTCTGTAAATGAAAGACGAAGGTGAATATCCTTTGAATATCCTCTTCCTCGTGTTCGAGTTGTCGTAGCTGGACGATACAGGATTTTCTTTTCTCAATGTATATTTTAGGTGTAATAATATTTTGAACGACAGCATTAGTTATGGCTTCTCGTGGTGGTCAACGGGCTGTTGGGACTGACGGGACTGACTTCCAACACCGACAAAGAATTGCTGCACATTATCATGAAAGGTTGGTTTTAATTTATCCATTAATCAGAAGACTCGCCGGATCACCATTGCGAGGCAAGAGTGAGGCCTAATTTCAGTGTAACAATCAAAATTCCTAACAAATGATAGCTTCGTCCTAGTCGAAATTCCGTATGCATTGAAAAATAAAGTGAAATTTGAATGGTTGAAAGGTTAGGAAATATGGGTAAAGAATAAGCTTGCATACGGACTGGATCTCAATCGCACTGTGTATGAGGCGGCGATTGCTGCATGAACCCCGTAGCTCGGCGATAGAATCGCTCACATCCTAAAGACTCCCGTTCTTGAAGAGCATCGCCTTGCAAATTTAGATTATCATCATGGTTACGAATGATTTAACAGTTACAATAGCAAAAGTTCCAAGAAAGAATGCTCTAAGCCGAATGCCTCTTGGTTTGTACGGCCCCTTGTTCTACTTCGACAGGTGTGCTAAACCAAAAACAGTTAACTGCGCTTTGAATGCTCGCAACATTAATCGAATCAGTATTTTGTATAGACTGATTTTATTCATGATGAGTGTCTGAGCATAAAGCTATGAGGAACGAAGTCTTTGAGTATATAAGTTCTTGTGCATGTGAGCCATCCATCAGTCTTGCTCATTTGAGGTTGCGAATGTTTCGGAAAAGCTATAGAATTTCGCGCTTTTGTTGCGTTCGTTTTGCTTTCATCGGCATAGGTATCTGGATGCAACCTCATATGTTACCTCACGCTCCAAACGCTGCCCTCAATATTTGCCTCTTAACAATGCTCTCGGTGACTATCTTGGCATTATGTGGCCTTGGTGTATTTGGACAATTCAATTTAGACCTTCTACCGATAATTCGACGGTTATACCCATGTATTCGTCTTCGCTGATATTCTGAAAGCTCGGGTTGTTAACACTTTCCTGCGTAATGATTTCAGAGCTGGAATTCATTTGTACCGCTTGTATACCATCAATTTGGCTGCGCATCCCATGTCTTCTTTTAGAGGGTCTCCTCCTAACATAAGTTGGAACAGGTTCACCTCAACAGCTCAGTGAAGCGCTCTTTCCTCAGAAAAGACAAGCTTTTCGACAGTTAGTGAGATGGTCCGTACAAAGGGTGGAGCCCTCTTCAGTAGCCTTTCCACACTTTTTCTCAACTCTCTAGAATAATTTTTAGCAGGAATGTAGAACTTGAATTCTCATCCGTCGGTAGCCTCTCCTCTCTTTTTTCCAGGTCTTTCCATGTTTGAGCAGGAATTATATTTTGATCTATGCTTCGCCCACTTTGGAGAGCATACCATCTACTATGGGTGATTGTGATTTCAAAAAATTGCTCTTCACTTTTCTCCTGGCCTATGAAACATATCCGAGCAGGAATCTAGTTTGATAGATTGCTCACTTACAGCCCACGTAGGCCGTGCCCACCCCAGCTCAGTGTGTGCTTCACTTAGCGGTGACATTCAAAAGAAACATACAAATAAACAGTGGACACACCAAGCCAGTGGCTCATAAATTGTCATGGTGACGATGAACATAAGGGAAAGTTGCTACTCTCTAACTGGGGATAGTCAATGACAGTAGTGACCATTAGCTCTTTGACGTTTAATGCGGGCCCCGAACCTACCATAGTAGCATTAATATTCTCCCGGTAATATTAGCGATCCTAAATAAAGTTATCGTGATTTCTTCTTTGCGTTTCGAATATTCTCTGTTTAGCGCAAGCGCCTTGTGAATTGCATCCTGGCTGTTAGTAGCATGTTTCCTGGATTGATATGCAATATTCGAGTTCTCTCGCGTGTCTCCTAGCGTTTTCCACTCGTCAGTCAAAATACAGCTGGCACCGTTACTCTACTGAATCAGAATTAGAAGATAATGTGGTGTAACTATAGTGTCAATGTCGTTGCGCCTTTTCATCTTGAACTACTACTTGTTCTGCGCTCAGCACAATACCTTAGAGTTGATCGAAATGTGGAATATTTAAAATTAGTGAGAAGTATTGTTTTAATGCCACCAAAGACAATTATTTGGAAAAAAGGGTTCCCTTCACAAGGAGTCTGCTGTGTTCCCAATTCACCTTTTTTCTATATCTACTGTGAACTAGTGCTAGTAGTGGTTTTATGAGCGGTGCTGTTTTACGCTGACTCTTTCAACATGTAAACAACTATTTCGTTACCATATTTCACAGCGTCTTTTTTTCAGTGCTCATTACAAGTTCATTTTGAAGTGGTTCTTCGCTCCTCACTTCCTGATTTTAATATTTATGTGGGCTAAGGTGATTTGTCTCGAGAGTATCATCTTTCTATTATTTTTGATTGTTATTTGAATGCAAGTCCAATTTTTTATGTACCATCTATGTCTGTTAAGGTTGGAAGTGAAGTTCTACGAAAGGAATTTGGCTGGAAAAGTTCATTCTTTGAGACACTTGATATGCCTTCCGCCTATCCATGGGAATACGTTTGGTGTTTTTCGTTCATTCCTATTATTTGTGCTATGATGTCTTTCTCGAAGAATAGGGTAAGTTGTTGCCTATTCTGTTTTGACTCTAAAGGGCTCGCCGTAATTTAAATATTTGCAGGTAAACTTGATAAACTACCACTACTATGGACATTTTGTTTTTGGGATTCTTCCTTGTATGATTGGTCTTGGTGGGCAGCTTCCTGAGCTCCTCGATTACATGAAAGACCAAGAAAATAGTAATACACCGACATTCAAGGTTGGTTTTAATATCGTTGCAAGTTTACAATCTATATGTATCCATTAATCGTGTGAATCAAAGTTTTGCATTAAACCTAAGAGTTCTTCTCAGGGTGTATTTCCGATGGTTATTATTTGGTACGTGTTCTTTGCTGTTGCTCTACAAATCCACGGATTTGCTATGTATTTTTCGTACCACCTGGCAGCAGCATGGACGCCAATAAAACGGGATTAGCCATTGAGTTATTAGATGATGTTTGCATTGTTCGAAAAAGTATTTGGGCATGTATAACATATATAAGTATGTATGTGTATGTATACATACATATATATAGAAAATTAATGCTTTCCCATAGTAGTATTGATTTAGCTTAAAATATCTCCAATCGTTGTTGGCTTTTTGTTGGTCTTATTTATAGAGTTGTCTGAAATATTTTTGCTGGAGCGGTAATATGCTAACTTGTATGAATGTTCTTTATTTCATTCACTTTGCTATAATTTCTAACTTATTGATTGTTAAATTCATCCTTTCATTGCGATTCTGTCAACTTTCCAATGAAATTCTTTAAGTGCTCACACGCTTTATCAGTCAAAAGACGCTGAATTCTCGTCTTCTGCTTTTCGACCCTATCAATATGTCCGCTAACTTTATGCTATTTGATCAGTCGTTCAGCAAAATGTGGGGTTGTGGTTTTGATGAGCGCGATGAAGAAAGTACGGATCTAGCAGTCATCAAGCAGCAGTTTATGCACGAGCCAGTTATAAGCTCCTTCGCCTTTCCTCAACCTCCTTTGGGCATTCAAGTAATTTGATTTGATGTATTCCTTTCAACTTCCGTATCCTTTATTTGTATGTTTTAGGCCAAGGATTTCGTCGCAACCCACTTCGGTAAGGATGCAAAAAATATGCAGTTTCGGAAGGGTACAACTACACTCGCTTTCATCTATGAACCTGCTACCGCTAACGACAAGGGTGGTATTGTCGTCGCGGTCGACTCAAGGGCTTCATCAGGAGAATACATTTGTGCGTATCAATTGCGTTTTTTTGTTTTCGTCGCCAATCATTATTGAAATTATTATTCTCAGCTTCGAAATCAGTTCTGAAAATCTTGGATATTGGTGATCGGATGGTTGCTACCATGGCAGGCGGCGCTGCAGATTGTCAGTTTTGGACGAGGACAGTCGCTAAATATTGCAAGTAAGAATTTAATTTCCAACTTCGAAGCTTTTGCGATTCTCGTTTGTTTTTCAGTTTGTTTGAACTGCGGGAAAAAACTCAAATAACTGTGAGTGCCGCCAGCAAATACTTTGCCAACGTTCTTTATGGATACCGTGGCATGGGCCTCTCTGTGGTACGAATGTCACAAATTTTCCCCTTTGTTTTACCCATTATTAGCGTCAGTTTAGGGATCTATGATTGCTGGCTATGACAAGAGAGGGCCACAGATTTTTAAAGTAAGTTAGCACTGCTTTTTCGATGTAAGCTTTTCATAGCTTTGCCATTTCTATCGTTTTGTAGCTTGCCTCCTAACTCTCAATTTTCGATCATCATTTTCATTTTCGATATGGGTCTGTGCAGGGTTTTAATTGGCAATATCGGCTTCCAGCTGAAACGCTCCTCATCAAAGCATTACGCTTATGCGTTCCGCCTTTGTTTACGGATTTTTCGATCCTCTCACCTATCGATTTGGAAGATTTAATGAATCCGAGTATGATGGGCGGAGCACCTATTTATATCCAAACCTTTCCATTCTTTATATTCAAACGTTTCCATTCTTTGTACTAACAATCACGGTCCTCAGTCGTAATGCTTGATCTGTTCGCGATAGTTTGTGCGATGTTCGAAGTGGACTAAGCGTTTCACGAAGTGGAATGAAAATGTGCTTTTTAGGTGGATAGTGATGGAGACAGATGTCAATTGCAAGTGTGCAGCGTTGGTTCAGGTTCTTTGAATGCCTACGGAATCCTTGATACACATTATAAAAGAAAAATGACCGATGAGGAAGCACTGAAGTTAGGCCGCCGGGCGATTATGCATGCTACCTACAGAGATTCTGGATCTGGCGGTGTTTGTAATAGTGAGTATTTTATAATTTTTATCGTAACTGTGCCACGCTAAATGTTTTGTTTGTAAATATAAATTGTTTATAACTTGTCCAAGTCCCTTACGTTGCTGATTTCCATTTGTGACAGCAGAAAACAGTGCTTTTATTACCAGAAGTCGACATTCAGTTGATTACTGGCTCCAATAGCCTAAACATTCTATGTCAAAGGGAGTTATTACGCGCGATGTTATAGCATCTGTTCTCAATCCACACAATGTATTATTTTCTCTTGCGTAAAAATTTTACAAGACAAAGAAGGTGTTCAGTATGATGTTTGGGTGAAACCCGTAATGGAAATGCACGTGATTAAGTTCCACATCCTTAACATTGTTTCATCATAACATGGCATGACTTCTTTGAGATGACCACTACAAGGTATAAAAAATGAAGTCTTGAGCGTTAATCAATCCCGTCTGAGGGTTGCGCCCTTGCATCCGACCTCCATTTAGAATCGTATTAGCGCATAGAATGCGTATATGCCCTATGCAATGACTTGCGTCGGCTAGACAATATACAAGTCAGTGATTTGATCCTCTCTAACGAGTCTGTTTCCAATGAATCGACCTCGGAGGAAGGCTTGGTTTGCCTGAGCGGATATCGATCCAGTATTCGAACCCATTACCATGCGTGTGAGATATGCACCACTTTCCACCATACGACCGCCCTTTACCAGAAACGACTATATATGACAAAAATTAAGTTTGTTTTTGCAGTAATGTTCATCCAAAAAGACCTGCCATTCTTTCAGTGGTGCACATCACTCCGACGGAGAAACGTCGTCTACCACCGATCGACGTAAGCAAGTTGTGGTATGAATTTTCTGCCGAACTTGGTCGCGATATTGCGTACGAACCTCGCGATGATTGACTTCGAATATGGGTGATGGGTGTTCCAGCTTCTCGTCTCTTCAAAGAGTTAATGGCTCAGAATATTGTTTTCTGATAAAGTTTTCTCTTTGTCATCATCTCACATGTGTAAAACTAAAGTAAAGAACCTCACATTCATTCAACGTTCTTTTTTTCTAAATATGTGGTCCTGATGGCTAGATACTCCTTTTAATAAAATTTTGGATTCGTGGTATATCCTTTACAACTTGTGGTTTTCTCCAATGCTTGCAGTTCATTTTGAAGTATTGCATCGAAGTTTTAGACCCACTGTCCTTTAATGAGGGTAAATAACATATGATAGGCTGCTTATGGACAAATTTCTCTCTTTATGTGAAGAGGACGGTCTTATATCATTTGGAGATGACTGCGAAAGGGCTTCAACCGAGGAGAAGATCCAGTGTACGCGAATTATTTCAGTTGTCTCAACGTTTCCCTACCTTCGCATCGTTTTATATTGTTTTTTACCAATAAAAAGCGTCCTGTATGCAGCCAGTTTTTTCAGCGGCCATCGAAGAACTTGTTGAAACAAAGAAAGAGCTTGTTACTAAAGCCCGAGCTGTAGCTTTTGATGGTGCCCCTGAGAGGAGCCGTGAAGGGAACGAATTAAAGTCAAAAGGTTGGGGGTATCATTATTACCGTTATGGAAATTATTGTTTTTTCTTGTTGTGTCTGTAATGTTATTCCAACCCAGAACTTAACCGTGTAACGGCGAGTTTTGATGAACCTCCACTCGAAGATGAGCCAACTTCTTCAAAATTCCCAGTGATTCATTCAGATAGCAGTGATGACGAATTTATTGACAACAAGAAGTGNACGACAACGTCCTCCCCTGGTAGACCTCTCTAAAAGATTTATTTTGCTTGAACTGAGAGTGTCGCTGAGGTGCAGAACACGAAATTTTCAGAGAGTGAAGAAAACGCCTGCAGAAACTGTATTGTCAGGTGTTGGAAAAAGTGAAAAAGTGGCGCCAACTCTTTTCGACAGCTTTTTTCGTTTGAACATCAGGTCAGGGCGAGCCTTCGTAACAGCATTTCTAATCTTAGACTTTTTTTCAGGAACCCAAAAATTTCATCTTCTACGTTCGAGTCCTATATAGATGGACACAAACGCTTCCGTATTTCCGATCTTAAACCGAACTTTGCAACAACAGGTCAGAGCTATTTTCTGAAAGTGATACTTCATCGGAGGCCGGTGTTTATTTATAAGCTGGGCTGCGCACTCAGGTGCATTACAGCAATAAACGTTTGAACATACTAATGAAATTGTAACCTGAGCTCTCCTTGCAAAAACCGCTTTTTTGAAATCTGATGGAATCGAGCCACGAATTTATGGGAGATGTCCTGCTCACCACGAGGATGCTCCGCCCTCTGCGAATTTCTTCGCTTTTTAGACCCATTCCTCACTTCTGCTCATTTTTTTCCGATGTCCGGGCTGTTTGAAGAACATATTCCGAATTTTGCTCCCTGCATCGCCTATTCGAGGACATATTCCCGTGAAAATTCTACGACCCACTCTTCACCTTTTTCCACACCAGTCGGATCGCCCGGCCAAATGCGAATTCTCCTTCTTTTATGTCAAGGTTGAAAGTCTTACTGGGGACTAACGTTTCCCCTTCCATTTCTTGCTGAAAGAGCTAATGGGCAGTTAGTAGTGGCTTCATATAGAGTGGCACACTAGTGGCAATGGTCGAAGTGCGTTACCATTATAGATCGTTATGTTCTCAGCTATATACCCACCATCATACATCTTTCCACTTCGTGAGTTGGAACATTGTACAACAAAGAGAACAAAGCTGCGGCTGATCGGTCAATTTCACAATATATGTATAGCAAGGCCACCCTCCCTTCAGTGTGAATCTTGGTATACTTCATGAACGCTTCATGTCTGAAAGGGAGCAAAGGTATGGATTAATGGGGCAAAATCTGGGAGGTTCGGGATAGGATTGTTGATTTTGAATTTCCCCTAACCTCCATCCTCTCCGACCTCTCCCCTTCCCAACCCAATGGCTAGAGTCCTTACCTGCCACATGCCATTGGTGTTTTTACTTTACCGCTTCTTTCCCTTCCAAATTTGAACGCTCCAGCTCAACAATTTTCGCCAACGATCCGCTTCCAACGGGCGATGTCTACATCTGCTACCTTCCATTACTGTTCCAACTGTATGTATCCTTTTCAAAATCGAAGGCTCTTGCTCAAAGGGAACAGTTTTCGCGGACGCCTTGCCTTCAGTGGGCTGAGTCTACACTTGCCACCTACTAGCAGTTTTCTCAATCCGCCATCTGTATCCCTTTCAAATCTGAATACTCTAGATTGGCAGGAGCGATTGCGCTTCACGCTACAGAATGGTGGGAGGGAAGGGGGGGGGGGTATTTATGTATTTCCAGTCTATTGCATTTCCAAGAAATCCCTATAGAAGAGGGTTACAAAAAGATTAACGGGCGCGGTTTATATAAGAATTCTGGAACGTTTTCGAACACAGTTGTTGTCGTTAGGTAGCTCCGCTCATCTTGATGCAAACCTAGTCAACTAATAAAATTTGGCAACTCCTCCTTCAGTAACCTCTGACCATTTTTTCCCTGGATTCTAAAACGTTTCTGAACAAAGTCATGAACTTTCGGTAAAGTCCTTTGTTCGAGCGGACGCTCTGCCCACCATAAGCGGAACTTTGTTCAGTTACCAATGCATAACACACTGTAAGCATTCAATCCAACAATTTTTTCTGCCCTACAATCTTGTTCATTAGTGTAAGCAAGTTGTGAATTTGGAACAAAAGTCTCCTCCCCCCCCCCCCCCCCCC